GTGCGTCACATCCGACGGGACGGCGTGGTGCCCGCGCGCACACGCAAGAACTCCCTAAGCCGCCCGAACAACCTGCCGCCCACTGCCTCCCACACCCTGCCGCCAGCGCCCACTCATCCGCCACTGCCGCCCCTGCGGGCCACGCCACCGGTCGCCACAACCACCACCGCCCCTGCCACAGCCCCCGAGTCCCCTGCCACCCCCGCCTCGTCGCCAGCCCCTGCCGTCGCTGCCCCGACCCCTGCCAGCACCACCAGTCCAAGCAGCAGCAGCAGCAGCAGCAGTAGCAGTAATAGCAGCAGTACGCCCACGACCCTCAAGCTACCTGAACCGCCTCCACTCGCGGAGGAGAAGCAGAAGGGGGAACAACAGCAGCAGCAGAAATCGCAGCAGAAGCAACAACAACAACAACAGCAGGAGCAAAAACAACAAAAACAGGAGCAGGAGAAATGCAACGAGGAAGCGAAAGAGGAAGAGAGACCACAGGAGAAGGAACAACACAAACAACAACAGAAAGAACAACAGCAACAACAGCTAAGAGAAGAACAAAAACAAAAAGAGGCAGAAGAAAAAGAAGAGCAGAGAAAGAGAGAAATAGAACAGAAAGAGGAACAGAAAAAGAGGGAATTGCAACAGAAAGAAGAACAGAGGAAGAAGGAATTACATCAAAAGGAAGAACAAAGGAAGAAAGAATTACAACAGAAGGAAGAACAGAGAAAGAAGGAATTACAACAGAAAGAGGAACAGAAGAAGAGGGAATTGCAACAAAAAGAAGAACAGAAGAAAAGGGAATTGCAACAGAAAGAAGAACAGAAGAAGAAGGAATTACAACAGAAAGAGGAACAGAAGAAAAGGGAATTACAACAAAAAGAAGAACAGAGAAAGAAGGAATTACAGCAGAAGGAAGAGCAGAAGAAGAGGGAACTGCAGCTAAAAGAAGAACAGAAGAAGAAGGAACAGCAGCTAAAGGAAGAACAGAGGAAGAAGGAATTACAACAGAAAGAAGAACAAAGGAAGAGGGAATTACAACAAAAGGAAGAACAGAGAAAAAAGGAAATGCTGATGAAAGAAGAGCAGAAGAAGAGGGAATTGCAACAAAAAGAGGAACAGAAGAAGAGGGAATTGCAACTAAAGGAGGAACAGAAGAAGAGGGAATTGCAACTAAAGGAGGAACAGAAGAAGAAGGAACAACAGCTGAAGGAAGAACAGAAAAAGAAAGAATTGCAACTAAAAGAAGAACAGAAGAAGAAGGAATTGTTGATGAAAGAGGAGCAGAAGAAGAAAGAATTGCAACAGAAGGAAGAGCAGAAGAAAAGGGAGATGCAACAGAAAGAGGAACAGAAGAAGAGAGAAATGCAACAGAAAGAGGAACAGAAGAAGAGAGAAATGCAACAGAAAGAGGAACAGAAAGAGAGAGAAGAACAAGAGCGAGAAAGGGAAGCGAAGGAGAAGCAAGAACCGAAGCAAGAGCCACACGCAGAGAAGCCCAAGAGAGAACACCACAAGAAGGACGACCAACCCCACCACCCCAGACAGCAACAACAACAACAACAACAACAACAGCAGCAACAGCAACAGCCACCACCACAGCAGCGACACCACCACCAGCGTCTGCGGCACAAGGACCGCCACGCGCAGCACGGCAAGGAGAAGCAGGCGCCGCAGGAGACAGAGCCGCACGCACAGCAGGAGAAGGAACAGCCGGTGCCGCAGGTTAAGGAGCAGCAGGTACAGCAGGCGAAGGAGAAGGAGAAGCAGGCGCCGCAGGGCAAGGAACACCCGCCGCGGCCCAAGGAGCACCCGCAGGCGAAGGAGCGACAAGCTCGGGTCAAGGAGGAGGACCGAGGGGGAGGCACGGACTCTCCTCCTCCTACTCCTCCTTCTCAGGCGAAGGAGGCGAGGAGGAAGGAGGAGTCGCCGCCGAAGCAGCAGCAGTCTGATCCCCCGCCGCAGGCACAGCAGGCGGCGCAGGCCGAGCCCCAGCAGGAAGGGAAGAAGCAGGCGGTCCCCCTGCACGCGAGGAGACACCTGCACCGCCACGCGAGCGAGGACGCCCCTCAGGACGTCGTGGTCGTGAAGAGGGCGGCGCACGTGCACATCCGGAAGGCGCCGTCGCAGCTGGAGATCCGCGAGCAGCTCCAGCGCATGGACGGGAGGCTCCACAAGCAGATCAAGGAGCAGACGCCCCACGTGGTCATCGAGAGGCTCCCGCGCCCCAAGGAGGAGCAGCTCCTGCAGAGGACCAAGCAACACCAGCTGCAGAAGGCCAGGGCGCAGAGGGAGCAGAAGGAGCAGCGGGAGCAACAGCAGGCTGCAGCGAAGGCTCAGTCCGAAGACTCCCACGAGAAGAAAGAACCGCAGGCGCCGCCGCAGAAGGAGCAGGAGAGGGACCCGCCGCTTCAGGAGAAGAAGCAGTTTTCCCAAGCAGAAGGAGAGCAGCAGTCCGCGCAGTCGAAAAGAGACCTGAAGAAGGAGCAGCAGCAGGAGGAGGCGGAGGAACAGCAGCAACAGACAACCGCTACGAAGCAGCCACTGGAGTCCCCGAAGGACGAAGAGACTCCGAGGCTGAGGAAGGACGCGCAGCAGAAGGAGTACCAGCCGCTGCCCCAGGAGAAGGAGGAGGCGCCGCAGTGGAAGGAGGAGACTCCGCCCAAGAAGGAGTCCCAGCAGGCGAAGGACGAGTCCCTCCAGCAGGAGAACCAGTCGCCGCTGGAGCAGGAGGCGCACCGGAACCTCAAATCAGGTGAGACTTAGTGTATGCGTGTGTGCGGGGGGGGGGGGGGAGAGAGAGAGAGAGAGAGAGAGAGAGAGAGAGAGAGAGAGAGAGAGAGAGAAGAGAGAGAGAGAGAGAGAGAGAGAGAGAGAGAGAGAGAGAGAGAGAGAGAGAGAGAGAGAGAGAGAGAGAGAGAGAGAGAGAGAGAAAAAAGAAAAGAAAGAAAGAGAGAGAGGAGAGAAAAAGAGAGAGAGAGAGCAAGCGAGCGCCCGCCTGGACCTCGCAGCCCACCACCAGCAGCATGGCCACGCCGTTGCCCATTAAGATGCTATCGGGGAACGCGAGCCCATCTGTATGCTGCCGCCGTCCTCACCCGCCTTGCCGATCCCTGCCCTCGGCCTGCCCTCGGCCTGCCCCCATCCTGTCTCACCTTGCCCTTGCCCATTCCCCAGCTGGTCCTCGCCCTGCCTCACCCTGGTTTTATCCAGAAAGCTGATAATCAGGGGGAAAGAGGGAGGGGGGGAGGAGGGCTGGAGGCTATCCCTTTCTTCGTCTCACTCTCCGTGCCCCGTCCTTCCAAACTCCTCCCATTCCCTTCCCCATTCCCATCTCAACATAATCCCCCATTCAACATCCCCTTCCCCCACCTTCATTCCGATCCCCGTCCCCAAATCTCGTGCCGAACCCCTCCCTACCCTCATACGGATCCCATCCCCCAAGCCTCATACGGATCCCCCTCCCCCACCCTCTTACGACCCCCCATCCCCCACCCTCGTACGACCCCCCTCCCCCACCCTTCCCCACTCCCTCGACTTGCAACCTCTCTCCCTCTCGACGCCGCCTCTCAAGAGACGTCCCTCTCCGCGCCGCCGTCTCGTAAGTCATATTGAGGCGGAAGTGAGATGGGGACGGGGGGGGCGGGGCGGAAGAAAAGTCCTCCCCCTCCCCTCTCTCCCTCCCTCCTCCCTCCCTCCCTCGAGTCATTAGCGGGGTCAGAGCGAGTTCGGGAAACACGGGGTCGAAGAGGGCGAAGGGGAGGAGGGGATGGGTGGGGTGGGGGGTGTAGAGTTCAGGGGTCGTAGGTCAGGGGCGGATGAGGAAGAAGGGGTTACGAGATCCCACGAGGTCAAGCCCAAGGTCAAGGCTGAAGCATCATTTGACCCAGAGTTTAAGGCGATTAAACTGCGGTTTTTTTTCTTGCCGACGTTATTGCTACGACGGAAGGTCATGGGGGGGGTAGGGGGGGGGCGATGATAGCCCAATTGCTTGATTACGGCTGATAACTAGCGCTTGGATTTGTGGGTTATCTTCTTCTTACTTCTTTATCTATGTCCTCTCCTTCCTCTTTCTCTTCTCTTTCTCTTTTCTTTTTTCTTCTTCTTTTCTTCCTCCTCCTCCTCCTCCTCCTTGTCTTCTTCTCCCCCTCCCTTGTCTCCTTCCTGTCTGCAATTTCCCTCCTTTGTCTATTTCATCCCCCTCTCCTCTTCCTCGTCGCCCCGTCCTCCTCTTCCTCTTCTTCCTCGTCCTCCACCTTCTTCTCCTCCACCTCCTCCCCTTTCCTCCTCCTCCTTCCCTCCTCCTCCTCCTCCTCCCTCCTCCCCTTCCTCACCTCCTCCCCTTCCTTCACCTCCTCCTCCTTCACCTCCTCCCCTTCCTCCACCTCTTCCTCCTCCTCCCCTCCCCTTCCTCCACCTTCCTCCACCTCCTCCACCCTCCTCCCTCCTCCTTTTCATTTTCACTTTTCACTTTTTTTTTTCTCATATTTGTGGACCAACGAAAAGATAAATTTATTCGCCCTGTTAGTTTTGGCGGCAGATTTTCCTCTTCCAACTTTTAGTATGCGTGAGAGGGAGGGGAGGGGTTAAGTGCTAGGGGGGGGGAGGGGAGGGGAGTAAATGTACATGACGGGGAGGAGAGGGAAGGAGAGGGGAGAGGGAGAAGAGGGAGGAGGAGGGAGAGGGAAGGACGAGGGAGAGAGGCGGGAGAAGAGGGAAGAGAGGGAGAGGGGCAGGAAGAAGAGGGAAGGAAGGTGAGAGGGGGAAGAAGAGGAAAAGGAGAGGGACGAGAGGGGAGAAGAGGGTAAGGAGGGGGAGAAGGAGGGGTGGGGGCAATAAGGGCAATGACTGGCAAGAACTTGGATAGATATGAGTTTAAGTATGTAACGGAGTGCCGAGCAAATAACCTTTGTAGAATCGACATTTTCAGCCAAAATCTGTTCGTCGGGAGGGTTGAGCACGTGTGTGTGCGTGGTGAGAGAGGAAAAGAGGGAGGGAGCAACGGAGGAGGGAGGGGGAGACGAGAGGGAGGGGGAGGGGAGAGAGTGAGAAAAAGGAGGAGGAGGAAGATGAGAGAGGAGATCGGAGAGGAGGAGAGGACGTGAGAGAGGGAGAGGGAGAAGGAGAGGGGAGAGGGAGAGGGGAGGGAGAGGAGAGAGAAGGAGAGGAGAGAAGGGAGAGAGGGAGAGGTGAGAGTGAAGAGGGAGACGAGAAAGAGACGAGAGAGAGAGAGGGGGGATGAGAGCAGAGAAGGGAGCACGATGAGAAAGGCTCTGGAGAGAGAGAGAGAGAAGAGGAGAGAGAAGAGAGAGAGAGAGTGAGAGAGAGAAGAGCGAGGAGGAGAGGAGAGAACATGACTGAGAGAGAGAGACGACCGAGAGGAGGAGAAGGGAGAGGAGAGAGAAGCTCCGACAGAGAGTATGGCGAAGAGAGAGCAGAGGCAGGAGGAGGGAGAGGGAGAGGGAGAGGAGAGCGGAGCGAAGAGGCTGAGAGGGAGGGGAGAAGGCGAGAGGAGAGAGAGACGGAGATGAGGAGGAGAACGGAGAAAGAGAGAGAAGAGAGGAGAGGGAAGAGGGATGAGTGGGATGAGGGAGAAGAGAGAGGAGAGGAGAGGGAGAGGAGAGGGAAGGGAAGAGGGAGAGAGAGAGAGATGAGAGGAGAGAGATGAGAGAGACAAGAAGAGAGAGAGAGAGAGAGAGAGGTCTTGCATCGCTTCTTCTCCGCCCTCCAAGTACTTCCGACACGACCGAGTCTGTGCACCCATTCTACCCCCCGTGATGAGCTCTCTCCGCTGATACGTCTGATCAACTAAGTCCACGACTCTTTTGACATCCACCTTCTATATGATAGGCTCAGCTCGACCCGACCCGACTCTACTCTCTCCAACCTCATACTATCAAATGCCTGGTGAGACTGAGAGAGAAGGAGAGAGAAGAGAGAGGAGAGATGAGAGAGAGAGAGAGAGAGAGAGGAGAGGGGAGAGGAAGAGGGAGAGGGACGAGGAGAGGGAAGGAGAGGGAGATGGGAGAGGGAGAGGGAAGAGAGAGACGAGATGCGAGAGAAGGAGGAGTGGAGAGGGGGAAGAGGAGAGGAGAGAGGAGAGGAGAGGAGAAGAGAGAGAGAGAGAGAGAGAGAGAGAGAGAGAGAGAGAGAGAGAGAGAGAGAGAGAGAGAGAGGGAGAGAGGAGGAGAGAGAGAGAAGAGAGAGAGAAGAGGAGAGAGAGAGAGAGAGAGAGAGAGAGAGAGAAGAGAGATGAGAGCAGAGAGAGAAGAGAGAGAGAGAGAGAGAGAAGAGACACACCACACACACACCACACACACACACCACACACACCACACACACACACACACACACACACACACACACACACACACACACACACACACACAGCACACACACACACACACACACCACACACACCACACACACACACACACACCACACACACACAAAGAAAGTGTGTGTATGTGTGCCGTGTGAGTGTGCGCGTGCGTGGTCTTTGCATTGGGTTGCGTGCCTCTGCGTGTACGTGTACGTGTATGCCAAGCGTGTAAGTCTCTGTGTGCGTGCGTCACTTGTCCCGAAACTGGTTCCACGTTTTTTTTTTCTTTTATTCAGTCTTTTAAAGCATTCCCTTTGGCCGGTATGCGGCGTGTGCTCTCTTATTCATCTCCCGATCGATCGGAGCTTTTGTATTTATGAGCGTCGAACTCTCATTTATTTTAATGCGGTTTTAAATAACGTTTGCGAGGAGGGGAGGGGAGGTGGGGAAGGGGGAGGGAAGGAGAGGGGAGGGAGGAAAGGACAGGGGAGGGGAGGGAGGAGGAAACGGGGCGTTGGACACGTTAGTCTTTGTTCAAATACTGGCGTAAATTACTTTTTTTATAATTCATGGAAGGCGTTTTATATCCTTTTATATTGAGTAATGCCTTCCATGCCTGGAATTTTGAGGCAGGGAGATGAGAGGAGGACGGAGATGAGATGGCAAGTTCGCCCAAATCATTATGAATTGCGCTCTGAATGTGAAACAGCGCTTATCGAGTGACAAAAGAGGAATTATGTTATATTTATTAAAGTTTGTCGTCCGCGTGTATTTACGCCCGCCGGCTCACGTGCGCTCGGTTGCCAGTTATTGTTATAGAGCTCGATATAAATTCCTAGTGGGATTTGATGCTCGCTTTGAATAATGAAGAGGAAACTTCTGTCTTCGGGGCGGCGTTTGTGCATTATTTGACTGATCTGTTGCCGGGGTCATTCTCGTGCAGTTTGTATTTTGTTCTATATTTCCCATCCTCCCGCAGGTGTTGCTTCATAATGATTTCACCGCGAGAGTCGCCGCTGTTTCGCTAAGCCGCCCTTGCCGTGCATCCGCGTCGCGCTTTGGCATCCATTCAAGAATACGGCGGCAGTTTGTCGTCGGTCGTATCTGTATGCTCTCCCGCGCGGCGCCCGAGGCAACGGTGCGGGCGTAACGCGGGCGGGAGAGGAGTTTTTGCGATCGCTGTTGTTACTGCTGTTGTTGCTGCTGCTGGGGTTGGGGTTGGGTTGGGCGGGGGCTGCTGGTGCCAGTGGTGGGCTTGGGATTCGCTTTGTTGGTGGTGCTGTTTTTGCTGGCACTGTCTTTATTTTTTATGTCATCGGCATCATAATCATTCATTATCATCATTATCATTATCATTATTATCATCATTATCATTATCATTATCATTATCATATCATCATCATCATCATCATCACCATCATCATTATTTTCAT